GTTGCCCTGGGTAGAGTGCCATGGCAACATCAGCTCACAACAACCTCCAACTCTTGGGCTCAAGTGATCCTCTTGCCTTAGTTTTTTTTATTTTTTAGTAGAGACAGGGTCTTGCTCTGGATCAGGCTGTTCTTGAACCTGTGAACTCAAGCAATCCACCTGCCTCAGCCTCCCAGAGTGCTAGGATTACAGCCATGAGCCACCGTGCCTGGGCTCTCTGAGCTTTTTCAAACTTATTTGTGAAAACCAACAGCTGGTATTGAAGGGGATGTTTTTATTTCTCTCAAGAGGCTTTTTATTTTAATGCAAAGATATATTAGAAATGAAAGAAAGAGTTTCTAATATATAATTAGAAACTTTTTTTATAATGTTAGAACATTTCTAACATTATAAAAAAGCAGCAAGTTTAGGTAATAAAACTGAACTGAGCTAGTCCTCTAAGAAATGCCAAAAATTTTTTTTCATTTAACAAATATTTAGCGAGTGCTCACTATATGCCGGCGCCTATTCTTAAGGCCAGTAATTTTCCCAGTAGCCATTCATCCTCTCCATCCCCTGCCTCAACCCGCTGAGTCCTCCACCTTGATTGCTATTGCTGAAGAACCCTTGTGGTTCCCCAAGGGCCTAAATTGGATTCTAGTTTCCCTCCTTCTTCAACATACTCGATTACACTGTCAGTGCTCTTTTGCTTTCTAACTTGTACCTGAAACATTCGAGCTTGAAGGTGTTTGGCTGCCTCATGAAATACCATTTCTGTTCAAATGTCATTGTTTTCATAGTAAAAACCAAATAAAGTCCAGATTACAAAATTGGTTGGTTCCGAGTAAATGGCATCTTCAAAGAAAATTTCTGCTTGCTCATAGTTTGACATTAAAATAGCCAGGACACCACACAGCAGCAAGCCGTGGATATGATTCTGGTTGAGGGAAAGGGCTTTCTGAAACCTTTGTTGGTTTTTTTTTTTTTTGAGACAGAGCCTCAAGCTATCCCCCTGGGTAGAGTGTGGTGGCATCACAGCTCACAGCAACCACCAACTCCTGGGCTCAAGCGAGTCTTTTGCCTCAGTCTCCCAAGTAGTTGGGACCATAGATGCCCGCCACAACACCTGGCTATTCTTTGGTTGCAGCCGTCATTGCTGTTTTGGCGGCCCGGGCTGGATTCGAACCTACCACCTTGGGTGTATGTGGCTGGTACCTTAGCCACTTGAGCCACAGGCGCCGAGCCCTTTGTTGTGTTTTGATGTTGTCTTCAGTTAGAAGGCAGAAGGCACCATAGTCCAGCCAGTGACCAAGGTTCTGTGGGCACACACTAACCTCTCCTCCTAGTATACTGCTGGCATTTCAGAGTTCTCATTGACTTCTGCTTCAGCTGCAAAGAGTCAAAGCTGTTCAATGCTTGTATAAGTGGTTGAAATAGCATCCCGGACATCATGTGGCATGGTCTGGTTTAGGGCCACATGCATCCGATCTACTAAGAACACACAGAGCTCACTGATAAATGTCTGCAGTTCCTCCCGGTTTTGAAATGATGTTGTCTTCAAGTACAATGCCAAGTATTTTTCATTTTCTACCCCTTTAACGATTGAAAAAATGAAGAATAGTTCTGTCTCTAGTTGTGGTTGGCATTAACAGCATTGAGCCATATTGATCTGTACTGGTGCAACAAATAATTATTTCAGTATACTTTAGTAACTATAAGGGTGTCTCCAACTGGTAGATTAGAAAGGAAGAGCTCCATGTATTAGTTATCCTATACTAATAAAAGTAAACATTTATTAGTAAATGTTTACTTATGTGAATAAGCAAGTACTGTAGACATTGTGTGTGTTAATAAGACATAAAAGTTGCTGCCAACCAGGTTCATTGCCTGCTGCTTGGAGGAAGCCAGTACCCAGAGACAGTAGGGTTTATGGCAGAGAAAGAGTTTATTCCACAAAGCACTAAGGGAGGAGATATAGAAGGAATTTCTCAAATCTGCCTCCTCAAGTATTTGGGAGTCAGAGTTTTTCAAGATAGTTTGGTGGGCAAAGGATTATGCAGTCAGGGTCTGTTAATTGGCTGGGTATAGGATAGGGATAGAACTCTCCACCCCTTAGCCTCCAGCCTGGGTGGGTCAGTCAATCCACTGGAATGCAGGACCAGGTTCTTGGGTGAAGAATCCCAAGACCAATTAAGTGAGTTCCCTGATGTAGGTTGCTGGTCTGGGTGGGTCAGCTGATGCACCCGAATGTAGGATTTGGAAGATAACTCAGAAACTACTCCTAGGTTTCAAAAAGGTGATAATTTTCTCTATGGAGAAAGCTAAGAATCTTTATGACCATCAACTATGTGACTCTAGAGTAGCAGACAGTGGCTAATTACTATCATTATATTTATCTGGACCTGTGCCTTATTTTTAGTTACACCCTCACCCTGGTTCTCCCCTTTCACCCCATTGTTAAATTTTTAAGGGCAGTTTCAAAAGTGCTTTAGACTCATGACCAAATAAAGTAGTAATTTTCATGTGGTGCACAGAATGGTAATTCAGGACATATTGGTTTGAGAATGAGGAATTCTTTCAATAGAAATTTTTAAAAAAATTTCTCAAGACATTTGTCCTTGGGAGTCTGCCTCAGGACATTTGTCCTTGGGAGTCTGAACCTCTTATGCCAGAGTCACAGCATTCCTCATCTCCTTTTCCTGGGCCCAAGCAAAAGAGTCCCAAGATGAATTGGGCCAGGATATCAGCAGTCTTCAGTCTGGAGTTGGTATTTTCAAAATTAAAATCTATCCGTTTCTTTGAAAATATGGTATCAGTGGAATGCCCTCAGCATGCTCCCTCCTCCTCTCTGAGTTATAGGAGGAGTGCTGAAAAGGCAACAAAGCCTGCTCTTGTATTCTCCTCCTCCTTTGTTCTTTACTTTGAATTTATGCTCTTTTCTTGTCCATTTTATATATCCTTATACAATCTCAAAAGTCATGTTAGAATAAAGAGGGGTACAGTAATAAATGAATTTTAACTAAATTTCTTTTAAAGCAGTGTTTCCCACCTGTGAGGCATATCAGAATCATCTAGATAAAATTAATTAAAAAAAAAAAACAAAAGGTGGTAGGCCCCACATTGGACCTGCTAAGTCAAAATCTTTAGGATGATAAGGCCTAAGTATATGGGTGGTCCAAAGATCCCCAGCTATTTGTGATATGTAACTTTGATTATAAAGTACTGTGCTAAACCATATTTTCTGTTTAACTTCCTAGGGTAATATGTGATATAATCCTATAGAAAATATTTTTTTCTGGAGGAATTTTCTTTAAATCTATTCTTATTTAACTTCAAAAAGATTTTATGAGTGTATGTATGTACACATGAATATGTAAAAATAATACTTGATTTTTCTTTATCATTTGATTATGAAAATGACCCACAGACACTTATTTTGGCTTTGTCCCCTTTTTTTTTGTAGTGACCATTTATTTTTCTGTTGCACAATCCCTGAGTGGGAATGAACTTACTCCCACCATGAACTGGGGGCCATCAGTAAACAGTGATGATAAGATGCATTTAATCTTGATTGCTATAACTGCCATCAGCTGCAGAGAGTAATACTGCTCATTAAGTTTGCATAGAATTTAAAATTCGTAGTGGAAAAATTAAATAAAAGTTTAAAAAGAGTTAGGCCAAATTTTGATAATGTCTTAAAGCCATCCCTTTATGGTTATGGGACTTGCTGAGTTTGAATGTTGTTGTTTCTCAAGTGTCTCTATGATTCAACATAAGCCTACTCGTACTTCTTAAACTAGTACTTTTTTTATTAGTAAGAAGTTGAAATAATTAAGACTTACATTTAAATCTTGGTTTAAATATACATTTGTTGCCATTATGAAGCAAATTCATCAGTTTTCTACAGCTCAAAATTTGTAGTGAGTAGCAAAGAGTTTATCACAAAATATTATTTGCATTTAATAACAGAAACGAAACCATTGTCTTTCATATTAACACGTGTAAGAAAAATGTGTTCATATTACACACGTATAGCTCCAGTTTTTTTTACAGGTGGTGAACTTTTATATGCTATGACTATTAATAGTTTTCTTAAGTCTGTTACAGTATTTTAGTGTTAGCACATTGTGTGTGAAAAATTGCTTGCAAGTTCCACGCTATTGTTTCTCAGTTCCTATCACTCCTCTGATGACTGTTCCCAGCTTCCTCCATTAAATATAGCGAGGCCCTGGGATGGTCCCTAGCATAGCTTTCCAGGAAAACTTACCAACTTCCAGAAAATGTGTTTTATTGATAACCAGAGCATCTCTGTAGAGTGAGTTTACATGGCTTCTCCTTTTAAAATGGAATCAGTATGGGGAATAGTGGTTCTTACTGGTAATCCTAGCACTCTGGGAGGCCATGGCAGTGAATTGCTTGAGCTCAGGAGTTTGAGACCGGCCTAAGGAAGAGTGAGACCCCATCTCTAAAAAATAGCCGGGTGTTGTGGTAGGCACCTGTAGTCCCAGCTACTCTGGTGGCTGAGGCAGGAGGATCACCTAAGCCCAAGAACTTGAGGTTGCTGTGAGCTATGACACCTTGGCACTCTACCCAGGGTGACAAAATGAGACTTTATCTCAAAAAAATAAAATAAAATACAAATAAATAAAATAAAGTGGAATTTGTCAATGCATTTTAATCCCTGCAAGAATAAATGGATTGAGCTGAATTCAGTTAAAGTTAGGTGGATATGATTATCCAATATCTAAATGAACATTTTAAAAGAGGAGTAAAATGCTAAATAAAAATGGGTGTGGGGGGAACTCTTACTGTATTATATAAAAGAGTAATAGGAAAAATCCTCAAATGACCAAAAAAAGCTTTCTGAAGAGCTTTCATTTTGAAGATTAGAGAAGATGGCTTCCCAGTTATTATATGTAACGTATGTTTAGAGAGAGGTGCTATGAAGCCAAATAAGGTACTGTCCAGGTCTTAAAAATTAATTCTGCATATTCTTTGGTGGGTGCTGGGATTGGTTTCAGGACATGACAGCACGTGATCTGCTGCAGCAGAGATACACTCTTCCAAACGGAGATACTGCCTGGCGGTCCTCACCCCTTGTGAACGCTGCTCTGGAAGGCAAGCTGGTCCTGCTGGATGGCATTCATAGAGTCAATGCGGGGACACTTGCTGTATTGCAAAGGTTTGTGCGAGACACACATACAGTGTGCCAACACAGGCGGTAGACGTGTAACCTTCTCAACATGTAGATCTTGAGAAACTCAAGATTCTATGTCCAAGTATAATGCCACATTTTTTATTGCTATCAACACCATGCAGTTAAACTTCAAATAATGAACATTTTGAGAAAAGCCATTGTCATCACAAAATTCTGTATGTGAGAGCTCCAATAGAGAAGATTTCAGTAATTTTGAAAGACTTTATGTATATAGATATATACATGCAAAAAGTTTTCACACAGCTGCAGTTTCCAGTTTATCAGCGTCACAGTAAATAGCCATTTACTATTTACAAACTCCTTATGAATCACAGATCTTAATTATTAGTTGATCTTGTTGGGATTTTTTTTAAGAGAGGAAAAAAAAATTTTTTTTTTTTTTTTTTTTGAGACAGAGTCTCACTGTCACCCTTGGTAGAGTGAGTGCCGTGGCGTCACAGCTCACAGCAACCTCAAACACTTGGGCTCAAGCAATTCTCTTGCCTCAGCCTCCCAAATAGCTGGAACTGCAAAGCACCCGCCACAACGCCCAGCCATTTTTTGTTGTAGTGGTCATTGTTGTTTAGCTGTCCCGAGCTGGGTTTGAACCTGCCAACTTCGGTGTATGTGACTGGCACCGTAACCACTGTACTACGGGTGCCGAGCTGAAAAAAATGTAGTTTTTAATATAAAATCTGTAATTGATATTTGATTATATTTTATGTAGACTCAGAAAGCTCATTTTTTAGTTATAAATTCAAGTGTTTCTCTGTAACTATGTTTTCTTATTTCTGTTTAGGTAGGAAACATTTCTACATATTCCTAAAAATTTTCTAGAATTTAATGTTGAGAGAAGAGTCTTCATGTGTAACTTTTGTGGAAATTTTCCCATATGGTCTCATTTTAAGAGATTAATGATACTGATTGTTTTTTGTTTTACCTTGTTTCTATAACTTATAAACATTTGATTTTTAACTTTGACTTAATAAGAGAAGTTGAATAAATAGAATAGACCATTTCCATATTTGAAAACTCAAAGTTTTTTGTTCTGGACAAGATGCAGATACCAAGTATAATTAAAGATTTCAAATACATTGTATTAATCATGATTAGATTTTAGAGTATTTAACAATAACAAGCACAAACTTTCAGTGACTTACCACAACTTTCCATAGATTTACAGTATTTTTTTGAGAAACTTCCATGCCACACTTAAATTATGCTGATCCCCTTTTCTTGGCTAGCTCTTGCATGTTTGGCCAACTGGGCAGAATGGCAGCAGCACTGAACACTGAGTTCTCATTCTGTGCTGGACATTGGAAGCCAGTGTTTCTCAGGTTCTCAACCTTGGAATCACCTTACGGGAAGGGAATTAAAACTACTGATACTGAGGCTCCACCTGCACAAATTCTAATGTTATTGGTCAAGGCTCAGGCTTGAACCTCAGCATTTTTCAGCATTTTCCAGAGGATTCTAATGTACAGCCATATTTGAGAACAGCTATACATTAAGCATCAGTTTTACATTAGCTTTTAATTTTCACAGCAACTCTATGAGGTTGGCCTTATATTTGTTATAAAAGGTAAAAGTTTGGTGATAAGAACAATCAACTAATTTGATCTTAGCCAAAAGGCCACAAAAAAGTTGAGAGAGATGGTGTGGTTCTCTTCCTCTTCAGTCATTCAGCTATTAGGTGTAGAGCTGGAGTTGAACCCAGGCCTGACTGGCTTCCTGCCTATGCTCCTACCCACTGAATTATACATTTTTCCCCTCCTCTAAGGATGGAGGCTGTGTGAGGCAATTCTAACATGGACAGCAGAAGACTTCGGGTTTGGAGTAAGTTCTAGAACACTGCTTTTCAGCTGTTTCAATATCTGGAAGACAGTTCTTAAGGTGTGAATGGTTAGGCCAGTATTGGAGTTGACATGAAAAGCAATGTAGTTATTTCATTATGAAGAATTTTGGCCAGGCAAGTTGCACTCTGGGAGGCTGAAGAGATTGAATTGCTGGAGCTCAGGAGTTTGAGACCAGCCTGAACAAGCGTGAGACCCCATCTCTACTTAAAAATAGAAAAACTAGCTGGGCATGGTGGCTAGTGCCTGTAGTCCCAGTTACTATGAAGGCTGAAGCAAGAGGATCGATCACTTGAGCCCAAGAATTTGAGGTTGGCTATGAGCTATGATGATGCCAGGGCATTCTGTCCAGGGGGACAGAGAGAGACTCTGTCTCAAAAAATAAAACCCTATAATTCACAAGATAGAAATATTTTGATACCATTCTTTAAAGCAGTGATTTTCAACCAGCGTTCCATGAGAGGATCTTAGGTGTAGCCACAAAAATTTTTAAAGATTATTTTTGAAAGAAGTTCAAAGTACAGTATGTTCTTTCACTGTTTTTGATCAGCATAATTTAAGTGTGCTATGGAACTTTAACTATAGGTTCAAGTGTGCCCTAACATAAAAAAAGCTGAAAAACACTGCTTGAAAGAGTTACCTTGGACTGAAGGGAATGAGTGCCAACGGCCTTGTTCCTTAATATGTAGCTCTCGGTTATCCTGAGTCACTCGTTCAGCTGTGCCTTTTCCTCTCCCTCCTTTTCTTCCATTTTCTTTTTCCTCCACTTCTTCTTTTCCTCTTTCTAGCCACATCTGGTGTTCATGAAAACTGCCCTCCAGGACAGGAACCATCAGTTTTGACAAGTATAACAGCACTAACTGGCTTGAAATTTCACAAAGTCTAGCTAACAAAATTGTTAGATTCAGTTGCCAGCAATAATAGACATTAAAATGTTGGCTCACTGACTCTGCCTCTAATAACTTCAGTGTTCAAGACTGATTCATTTGTCTTCTGCCCTTCTTTTGCCCTTATCCCATCAGGTTAATCCATGATCGAGAGCTGAGCCTCTATGATGGCTCTCGGCTGCTGAGAGAAGACAGGTATATGCGCTTAAAAGAGGAGCTGCAGCTGTCTGATGAGCAGCTCCAAAAGAGGTAATTCTGGGTGCATTACTCTTACTGTGGAGTTAAAAATATTGTCTATTAATTTTCTAAATCTAGTCAAACTAAGATAACTTTAAATAGCTTAATAATTTGGTGTCCTGAGCATACTAATAGTTTGGCACTTCTTAAAATGTGAGGTTGCTATCTAAGATGTAATCTGTACTCTTGGCCTTACTTTTAAATAAATGTTTAAACATTTTATAAGAACACGGGTTTAAAGAAGGTAATCCCCCCTCTGTTGACCTATAGGTCATACTTTTGTATCCCCTCAGCAGAACAAAAGCTGGGCCCACAGTTACTAGGCTCACCCTCCTAGGGTATCCCCTGTAATCCCTGGCTGTGCTACCTGATGTAGAGTTGCCCTTTGTGGCTTACACATTCCTTCCAGAGCTGTAACAACCAGATGCAATGTTTGAGACTTGACTGGATCCTGGGGTAGGAAACAAAACAAAGACAGCTATAAAAGTTAGAGAAGTTTTAGTATGGGAGATGTGTATACACATATTGAATTAATATTTTTATAAGCATAATGGTATTGAGGCTATGAAGGAGACTATTCCTTTCAGCAGAGATGCTTACTGAGATACTTAAGGGACCAAGTGAATGAAGAATACCTATAATGAACGTCCAAATGTTTCAGGAAAAAAAAAGATGTGTATAGCACACACAAACACACCATAGAGTAGGATCAATTGAGAATGAGAACACAAAATGTGAAAGTCTTAATTGGCAAAATCTAGGTGAAGGATATATGGGTGTTTTTTTTTTTTTTTTGAGACAGAGTCTTACTACATTGCTCTTGGTAGAGAGCCCTGGCATCACAGCTCACAGAAACTTCCAATTCTTGGGCTTAAGCAAATCTCTTGTCTCAGCCTCCCAAGTAGCTGGGACTACAGGCACCTGCTACAACACCCAGCTATTCTTTTTGTTGTTGCAGTTGTCATTTAGTTGGCCCGGGCCGGGTTTGAACCCACCAGCCTTGGAGTATGGGGCTGACATCCTCCCCACTGAGCTATGGGCACTGCCCGAATGTTTGTATTCTTTTAAATTTTTATGAGTTTGAAAAATTTTGAAATAAAAAGTTTGAAGGGTGATGTTTCTTTCAGCTGCATTCATACTTTCCTTTAGAGTAGGTTTTGCAAATACAATTTTCCATCTCACTACGTTTCCATAGATGTTTGAATACAATTAGAGGTCACTGTGTTGGGGAAACCTTAGTCCCCGATCTAACCTTATTTAAATGAAGATTTCCCTCACAAAAGGACAGAAGAACCTCTGTAAGTTGACTACCCAATGATTATAACCAACTGGTCAACATAAGGAACTAGGCCCGTTTTACTGACACATATGTGTGGTATATGTCCAATTTATGAAAATGAGATCAATTTAAGGAGGTGGTCAATGTGAGATGGTCAACTATGGAGGTTCTACTATATTTAAAACATTAAAATCCCACAAAAGATGGGTGTATTTATTGTGTTATGCTATGGGCAAAATTTTGTTTAAAAATTTTCTTGGAATTTTTTCTTAGAAGGGAAATGTTAAATTCCTAAAGTCTCTGTAAATTTGAAAGTTTACTTGATTGCACAGCTACTCATACTTCTGAAATATATATTATCAAATTCCTCTATACCACTAAATGGTTTTTGTGTGAGTTTAGGAAGGCAAGTTATTCTTCTCATATTAATAAACTCTTAGTTTATAACATTCAATTTTTGTGCATTATTTGCATGTGAATCAGTAGTCAGGAAACAGTTCATATTTTCAGAAGGAGGATTCAAACCAATTGGGCAATAGCTTACAGCAAGCCTGCACAGCAATTTCCCTTGGAACATGAGGTACTGTGTACTGGCCCGAGAGGCAGGGACCTCTCTCAACCTGGCGCGAGGAGGTAGAGTTGACCTGAGTGGAAAGCGATAGAATGGTTTTGGCAGGACTGATGCAGTGGATGGGTGCAGACAGCCCCTGAACCATGAAAACAGCTTTATACAGTATCTTAATGATGTTGCATAAATCCTAGCACTGAGGTAGAGATCAACCTTAAAGAGGAAAAGCTGCTTGTCGATAACAAGGCTACATGGGCTACGTGACTTCTGGCAGGTGGAAAGAATGTTGTTAAAGGAGAAGCAGCTGGTGATCGTTTCCTGAATGCCACTCCAAGCGGCGGGGGGGGGGAAGGGGGCTTGTCCTGCCGCCCACAGCCTGCTCCCCACATCTCTCTGTTTTATCCTTTTTTCAATTCGTCGTTAAGCAGCTTTTGGAGTCGTCGTTTGACTCCCGACTCTGTAGAAGACTAAAATGTCTTTAGCTAATTATGCAGGACTACAGATGAGAACCATGCATAGCAGACATAATAATCATCACTCCTAGATAAACTTCTCGGGGGTGACTGGCTTGCCACACATTGCACCAACTTCTTCAGCTGTTCCCATGTCAGGGGCTCCGCACTCTGAGATGTCTTGGCTCGGGGATGAACCTTCAGGATGTCAGTCTCAGTGTCAAGAAGTTCCTCTGGCTCCGTTTAGGGAGCCAATGAGGGCTGTCAGCTGTTCTAAGAAAAACACAGACATATCCTCTCCTCCATATCAGAACAGGGTTAGGCCCTTGCCAGATACCGGTTAGAGGATCTTTCCATAGGATGTTTAGAATTAGGTGCATTCCAAAAATGTCCTACTGCTGTTTCTGGATATCAACACTCAAAGTAAAAAGGGCATGAGAGAAAAGGTTATGAGGTGTATTGGGGTATACGTCCCCCTTTTGTAATTTATAAATTTGAAGTTTAAGAGTGTGGTGAGTGCATTCAACAATTCCTTGGCCCTGAGGATTGTGTGAATACCTGTTGATAGTGAAAGTGGAGCAAAAGGAAAAGGTTTTACTAGTATAAGACCATTGTCTGTCTTAAGTCATGGAATTCCTAAAATGGCAAAAGCATTTAGACAATGAGCAATAACATACTTAACAGCTTCACCAGAATGTGCAGAGGCAAAAAATGAAACCAGAGTAGGTGTCAAGAAGATGAACAAGAGTTTTCCAAAAAACCCACAGTCACATCCATTTGCCGTAACTGACCTGGTAAAAGACCATAAGGGTTCACACCAAATTGAACAGATGGTAAGCAAAACATTTGCAGTCTGCAGGCTGGAGAGGAATAGTCCATAGCAATGAGTGGGGGAATCCTGTATCAGTCCTCTCCAAATACAAGGTCTAACTGCTATTAAGGGGAATGGGGTGCTGACTGCTCCAGACTGTTTCCTGCTGAAGATGAGTGATGATATAGGGGAGCAGTTAGAGATTGCTCCATCTTAATTCTGGAGGTAGGTACCTTTCCCCAAGCTTATAAAGCTAATTGATTTGCTGATAGGCTTCAGGTAGATAATAGAATTGATTTGTCATAGAAGGCTGAGCCCCTCTACAGTAAAAGGAGTGTTATTTTGACTTGCTGCCTGCTTGGCAGCCTAAACGGCCTATTGTAACCTCCACAGTGAACAGTCTCCAGAAAGGCAAGCCGTAGCAACTGACCTCCAGTCATCAGAAGGGAGAGCCTCACTACTCAAAGTATCTACCAAAGCCAAAGCAACAGGAGCGTGGGACCACACCTGTCCCAACTCCCCAAGGGCCTCAAAAGAAAGACTGATGCTCTCTCATATGGCTGATATGGCTGCCTTGCTCATCTGCAGTCTCTGGCACTGGGAAGTTAGAAAAGCCATTTAGACATTCTAGCTTGTGCAAAGGTCTTTTATCATATTTACCGGAACAGGTCACATTTTTCTGTGTTTTAAAGGTGCTTTCCTTGAGAAACTTCAACAAAGTGTTTCCAGTTTTAACCCAACAATTTCCAGTGAAATCGCAGGCACATAACATATGGAAACACATAGACATACATACTTACCCCCGACTATGCTTACCCCCCAAAACTTACTGTACAGTTTCATTTTTTTCACTTATCTTATTTTTCACTTTTCTCACCTGCTTGGTTCCACTTTCCTGGTCCCTGTTTGAACTAGAGGGGAATGGTGGGGAACAAGGATTCCCTCATCAGTTTGAACTTACTTTTCTGTACTCAGGTCCCTGGTCGAGCACCACATACTGCATACAGGTACGAGAGAGCAGGACCTCTCTTGCCCTGGTGCAAGGAGGGAGACTTGACCTGAGGGGAAAGGTGAGAAATGAAGAAGAAGGACGCACACAAGATAAGAG